ATATATGTATATACATAATATAGGTATATATATACCTATACACAGATACGTATACTGACCTGAGTATGACTACGTTGCGCTCTATTTTGCCCAGAATGGAACGTACTACGGCTTGGAACATTTCGTGGAAATGCCGGTGTTGTTGGTGTTGCCAGTCTATTGCTTGGAGGTACGCCCAAGCTAATCAAAAATATTAATTTTACAATGAATATTATTTTTCTTTATTTCAACTTATTATTAATACTATTAAATTTATTTATATATTTTGATTGGATTCTTACACATTGCGCATAAAAGTAAGTTTGTGCAAACAATTTTGTATATATATATATATATATATATATATATATATATATATTTACATACATACATATATATGTATACAATGTATATATTTTTTAGTTGTTGTTTCAAAGAGACAGAATAAATAAATAATATGCAAAATTCGATAAACAATCGAATATATGTATGAATAATACTTATGATTAATTTACAACTGTCGTGGTAAAGCAATTGCTAGAAAAATTCACATATCAGATAAGCAACATTCCCATGTATGTAATAGAGTATTAATGTAAAACATAAGCGCATTTATATAAATTCATTAATTATATATTTAGTTTAGATACTTTTTTTTCTTTTTTATATAACATGCATCAATAAATACTTCAAAGAAGTCAAAGAGCTTGTTAGAAATTATTATTAGGGAACATATTTTGTAATTTACAAATATTTCAGTTGTAAACTTTGAAGTATTTAAAGTATATTTGATTGGTGAAATTGATATTCCCGTAAATATTATAAATTCGTTATTAATTATTTTTAAAAGAATTAAAAAAAAAACAAACAAACAAACGATGTATTATTTATATAATTTTCAAAATATTATTAAACTTCTCTCCAAAATGTAGCATATATCTAAGAATGTTCTATCATTACATACACATGCATACTAACTGATGATTCTAGTGCCATGTAAATTGCATTACATAATTTTTATGCATCTACGATGAATAAAGATCAAATAGTAGAGTCCTTTTCCCTTAGGTTGCTTTTATTTTGTTTATAGACAGGAGTAGTGCAATATTAATTATTGAGGAATGAAGGTGATGATGCATTATCCAAATGTATATAAAGGCGAATATATGAAACTGATAGTATTAAAATAGAGGAAATTAAGGATATAATATGATACATGCAAATGAAAGATACAGGAAAATAGAGAGCAATGAACAAATGACCAAAAACTGTCCTAGAGAATCTATGCAGAGATGATTATTTGAAATTATGTGGAAGATATATTGATAGGTCCAACTGTTGTTTTATAGCAAACTAGAAATAAATCTGATAGCGCTTCATATATATATTCATATATATATAAAGTATACAAATAATGAAAACCTTAATGAGATAATTCCTTGTTAACCCTAAGAGAGTTAGTGGCCCAAATAGAGTAGAAGCAATCAGATGTATGAAGAAATGTATCTGAACAATTTTATAATACAGGAATGTATAAAGGTTGGTCGATAAGGTATAGGGAACCTGTACCTCTGCCTAAGAGGGTCAGCAGTGGCGAGTAAGGAGTTGTGGGCGTTGCGTGGTTGAGGGTCCAGTAGTGAATGGTCGCTGGGAGGTACGCCACTGGAGGAACGGTGACCTGCACTGATGCTCGCAGACTTGGTGTGACCCCGTGTTGGTCTAGTGCCTTCGCCCAGGCTGTGCACAAAACTAATGAACAAATTGCCTGGCCCCTACTTTTCTGCATTTTAGACCTATTCCTTCTCTCTGCATTTATAGGATGATATATACTCTTCTACTACGATACTACATCCTAATTCTCACTAACTTTACCTAAAAAGTATCCTATTGATATATCTATGTTACTAATATAGTATATTATAAAAATGACCTAATTCATTGTAATGTATGTAGACAGACATGTGACATCATTTTGTGTCATTTATTTGTTTTCAATCATATTTTGTATTTGTATTTCCATTTAACAATATAACGATAACGTTATATGTAGAAATACTTGAATATATTATGTATATATATATATATATATATGTACACGTCTATTGTTAGAAAATTTGATATGAAAAAGAAAAGAAAAAAATAGAAGACGAAGAAAAGAAAAGAAATGAAAAGAGAAGAAAAGAAAAGAAACGTAAGAAATTTCATGTTATACGAAAAGATTAGGAAATATAAAAGGATAGAGAGAAAAAGGATGATAATATATAAAACGAAATAAATTGATTTTGCATAAAATATTTGTATGATGAATAAGAATATGACGCTAGAACATAAGAATGATGTATGATGATGTTAATGAATGTTTCTCTATACACACACGTTCTTAAAGATCTAAAAAAGTATTTTGAAAAATAGAATAAGACATGTGAATATGTAACTGTGGTTTCAATGTAATTTTAGCAAGCATCTGTACATGTATGCACGTTGAATTAGATTGTTTGCTTAATACATCTGTCAAGCCATAAAGAAAGTGAACTGCAATGACCGTCTGGCAGGCAGCAGCCAACATGCTAGAGCAATGCAACAAACAAATAAAACTCCCTGGGGCTCTGCTGACAGATTCTGTTATCTCATCCAAAACTTTTTCAAACTTTATTTTTCTAAATTAGTTTAGTACTCTTAACATACAAGTAATTAGTCACCTATATATAGTTAGTAAGATTAGGAATGTTAAATTGATAAAGGTACCTAAAATTTTGATACACAATCAATCTATAATTTCACTTGTACATATCTTGTAAGACAAATAATACAAGGAGAATTGAGAGAGATACTGGATATGATAATAAAGATTTATATATATTTAAAAAAAAAACAAAAAAAAATGAATATAATTGAAACTTCATTTAATATTTCACGTCTATCAGAAATCCAGTACCTTTTGTAAGGATCATATATTAATAAAGTAGGCTACCTGAAATACTGAAATGAAATTATTATCAATAATAACAATTGGTAATTTATATTTCAGGGATCCCTTCTTGATTTATATAAAATCCAAATTGATGATTTAAATAATATGAAATAAATGAAAATTTGTGAATGGAAACTATACCTGGGTACGTCGTTGGTTCTTTCAGTAGAAGAAGATGTTTTTGCTTGGTCATAGGAGATGGTGCTACGACGACCAACAGAACCAGGAGCAGGTGAGGTAATTGGTCGAACTCCACCTACTCCTGCATTCATTGCGTTGCTCTTGCCAACCCTTCCTTTACTACTGGGACTTGTACCCACGCCTAGAATGAACATTGTCACTGCAAGCCTCATTAGATATGGTTCAACACAAAACAAAGCAGCATACATTAAATTATAAAAGACAAGACAAGGTTTAGAACAATGGTTTTGTATAGCTATATCAAACCTAATTCTGTATGAAACTCTTGTTTTTTTGACGAGTATAAATTTATTATTATAAAAATACACCAAAAATATTTATAAACATAAAAGTGACAAATAAAAATTATAATGCAATAAAGCAAAATATTACTTGAATTAGATTTATTTATAGAAAAAAAAAAAAATAGTGTCAAAATGTAATAATTAAAAAAATTTTTTTTTATCTATATACATTAAAGAAAATGAAAGGGTGTATATATGTATATGATATTTAGGATCATGACATAGAATAATTAATCATGTGTTTATATGATGCAAACATGATCAAACACATACAGACATATGTGAGATAATAATAATAATAATAATAATATATGAGAACAGTATATATAGAACACGTTTACAAATTAATATCTAATTTGTAATGAAATAAATTAGCAACGAAATCACTGCAACCTTGTCCAAAAGCAAAATGATATTTGAAGCTTTAAAGGATATAGCATAAGAAGCAAATAATGTTGTTCCTAAAGTGCCCCTTAATGAGAGTACTTCGAACAAGTAGAACTCACTGGTATCGAGTTGCCCTGGACTATTTTTCGGTGCTGAAGGTCGAGCGGCAGAAACACGTGCACTATTCTCCTTGATCGTTGCCGCATCTACAGTGTTTTGCCGTTTGAAATTGCTACCACCGCTACTGGTAACTGTTCCACCAGTTACAGCAGGAGCATGATTATGATTCGTTGCGTTACCTGGACTTGGTGCACCTCCTAAGATATATACATTAATTTTCTTTAATAAATGTTTCTTTTATAATAATAATAATAATAATTATTATTATTATTATTATGTTTAAAATCGATGGCGGGGGCATGCTTTTAACATAAAACAATTAGTTTACAGTTAAGAAAAGTCAATCTGTGCTTACCCGAACATAACACGTTTGTCCCTTCATATTTTTTTTTTTTATTTGGTTTCACTATCGTATAGTTTTTACATTACATTTTAGTAGAGACTGTTATTGTATTAAAACATGACATTCACTTACGAAGGGTTTCGCCACCAGACGAGGCCCGTCTGCTGGGCTTTGGATTGCTAGCAGAAATACTTCTGTGAACACTTCTGTGTGACGGACTTTGTACAGCACCACCTGTACCTCCTCCACTACTTCCTCCTCCGCCCGAACTAACTTGTGCAGGAATAGTGCGCAACGATAAAGAACTTCCGGACCGTGAGCCATCGCTTTCAGGCTATTTTCAAATAAAATACAAATAATTCAATGATAATCTACAGAAAAATGGATAATGTATCTACTAATTGAATATTATTATTTTTCCTACTTACATCTGTTGTTTTTCTGCCCAATAGCAAATATGTTGCAAATACATCATCATATTTAGCTTGACCTAATGAGTCTTCTATCTCACTTCTCGTGTATCCCATACTAGCTAAGGTCTCTGAAACAAATTACATGAATCGGCATAGTTACATCATATATAACAAAAAATATTCTACATATAATATATATATATGCAATACAACAATAATCTAAGTATTTTAACTAGTATAACGATATTATTCTACATATAAATATAAATATAAATATAACAAATAATAAAATGATGAGACTAATTTTTGTATGGTTGGATATGTATGTTTGATGTTTAGTTAGAAAAAGTTCATTCACTAATACATACATCATAGTATAATTAATAAACTTGAACTACACATAAAGACACATAAAAATGTATTCATGCATAGATATTAGATATATCAGTTTAAAAAAAAAAAAGAAAATATTATATAATATAAATTGAAATAAATACAGATGAACACAACTGTGCAATAATTCGTTCAATCGAAATTATTAATAACAATTTAACGAAGTATGCGTATTACGTATATTATTTTGCATGCTATTACGCTAAGATCTATTTTAAACAATGCAACATGTCATTTCATTAAAATTCTATATTAAAAATAAGAGGAATTCTTTTTCCGGATATATTAACCGTAATTATTATATTGTAATGTAGATACATCAAATTATTTCTTGATACGTCTTACGTTGTGGTCAATCTTTTTTTATTTTTTTTTTGTTTTTTTTTTTAGAACAGGGATGATGCGAGTTAGTAATATAATCAAATAAATGATGTTTCATTAGATAAATGATTATATTTCGTAGTAAAATGCTTTTAGTGTGAAGAAGTCAAGAGTGCCCACATTAGATATGGAATGCTTGCTTGCTTGCTAAACATAAAAACAGTAAGTAGTAAGTGTTATGTACATACTGGCAGACTCACCTATCCTCTTGTGGTCTTTATAATCAGGTTCAGGTTCTAAGTACGGTTTTAATTCGTCATCCTCATATCCCATATTCATCCATTTATCTTTCATTATATTCTGTAAGACAAATGTAAAGAGAGAGAAAAAAAAAAAGAAAAAAAAAACACAAAGAGATCAAACGCTTTAAGTTATCTCATTATTTCTTAGATTTCTAACACAACTCACGAGTTTAATACTACTCGGACCTTATCTCCACGTACCTCTAACGAGGCTCGTTTCGTAGGGTTAAGCACCAAGAATTTTTTCAAGAGATTTTCACAGTCGGTGGACATGTAAAATGGGATCCGATACTTTCCTCTTAGCACCCTTTCCCTTAATTCCCTCAGTGTTGACCCATCAAATGGCAGTGAGCCAGATACTAAAGTATACAGTATTACTCCCAACGACCATACGTCCACTTCAGGGCCGTCATACTTTCTACCTGTCACAAGAATAACGAAAAATCAATAAAATATATGTATATGTGTGTGTGTGTGTGTATTAAGATAAAATGAAAGGTCAACAACAATAGCAAACCTTGGAAAAGTTCAGGTGCCGCGTAAGGTGGCGAGCCACAGAAAGTGTCCAATTTGTTACCAGGTGTAAATTCATTACTGAAACCAAAGTCAGCGATCTTAATGTTCATCTCGCTGTCGAGTAACAAATTCTCGGCCTTTAAGTCTCTATGAATGATCTTTTTCTGATGGCAGTATTGCACGGCAGATACGATTTGCCTAAATTTAGCACGAGCCTCCTTTTCCTTCATTCGACCATGTAAAACGAGATAATCGAATACTTCACCACCGCTAGCATACTCCATTACCAGGTACAGTGTCTTTTCAGTCTCGATTACTTGGAAAAGTTTCACTATGTTCGGATGGTCGAGCATCTTCATTATCCTTACTTCTCGAAAGAGCTGCGAGACGTGATGAAAAACAAAAAAAAAAAAAAAATCAATGAAATATTCTAATAATCAAAATGTTAATATTAATGCAATTATATTAACCTTTTGAAGACTGCCCGGATTAAGTTGTGTTTTGTCGATAATCTTGATGGCCACTTCCTTCCCCGTAGGTACATGTTTAGCAAGTTTAACCTTGGCAAAGTTACCTTTACCAATGGTTTTGAGTAACTTGTATTTACCGATGTGCGGTTCTTCGGAGGTTCGGCTCCTGGACGACATTCGTCCACCGCTGGTCGACAATGCTCCAACGCCATCCCCGGTCTGCAAATAAAACAAATACCAAGATAAATTAACATATGTTTGTGAATATCTCTATTCCTCTCTCTCTCTCTCTCTCTTCATTATTAATACTAGAGTATTATTTTAACACGTTGCAATAAAATCAAATGAAAATGATCCAATATAAGCTCTCATGTTTTCTTTTAGCTCTTGTATACTTTTCTATAGATTGATCTAAGTAGATAGTAAATGTATAGATATATTAAAAAGAACGTGTCAACCGTGAATCGCACTTGACACTTCCAGGGACGACGAGCCATTGCCAATGTAATTAATTAAAGCTCGTTAGAGTGCACCAGATAGAGATTATTTCAAACAGAGTTGTTGTGTGTAACACAACAGTTAACATATGTAGTAATGTAAGAATCAAGGACAATTTGTTTATGCCATAAGAAAATATTAAAACGTTAAAATTAATCAAATTCATTCAACGTGTCTCAACCCACCCGGAAAGTTTTGAACATTTGCAAATTTTGATAATGGTCAACACTAGGATTTGTTACAATCATTTTATAAATGACAAAGTAATGGATATATAAAATGAACATAAGAAAAAACAAAAAAAAGAGATTCAAGGGGGGAAAAAGAAAAGACAAAAGTAGAAATATAATTAATTGTCAAGAGGGGTCAATTACCCGCGTGAGGCCACGAGTGACCATCTTGCAAGAGGTGGCCGCAGCAACCTTCGAGGTCGCCAGCTTGAATGTTCTTTGCGTTTTCTTTTGAAAGAAAAAGGAGGCGTTGATCTAAACGCATTAACGACGATCATTCAAATCGATCATTTTATTTGAATTGAAATATCCCGAAGGATGTGAGAAGGAGTCCCTGTAATTTTCTCTCTTTCTCTCTCTCTCTTCTGTATTCAAAATCAATTTTTTCACAGTCAAAAAAATTAATTATTAATAAAAAAAAAGCATCAAATATTTCAATGTCTCAGGAATCAAGTATGAAATTGTAATTCAGTTCTCTTGTCCGAGTTATCAATCATCAATAAAATAATTGAATCATGTAAAAAACACGAATAATTATTTGGGATACTATTGAACGTCATCTTGAAGAAATGTCTTTATCTATGAACGATTCTGACATAGACGTGATGAGAAAGGATTAAGCAACCTTACAAAGTACACCCCAAGTGTTAAGATTCCACCTTGTTCAAGGAACAAAGAGACGAGTTCGTATATGATCGACCGCAAATTGTCGCCAATGAAATTTAACATTTGTTCTTTCCCAATACATATATTATACAACAAAATAAAACATATAAAACGAATAATAATTAATTAATTAATTAATCAATTAGTAAATTAAACAAAAGAACTTGTCGCGAATGAATTGATTCAAATAGCAGGGAATAAGAGAAAAACACCGAAGTTAACATCCGAGGCAATGAAGGATCAAAGATGGTGTTTGGATAATGAAGAATTATGACAATTCCACGTTTGATAATCCTTTTTAAGTAGAGAAGTATGATGATGATGATGATGATGATGATGATGATTATGTTGACGACGACGACGACGACGACGATTAGGACAACAACTTGATGGAATCCTTTCGATTAGATCCCACAAATGCGAACCCGTTCGTCCTATTCGACGATAGGAGGAAAAAGAGATGAACGTGACACGATCCATTCAACAACTCGCACTATATAACGTCTATAGTTTTTTTTGTTTTTTTTTTATTATTATTATTATTACACAAACACCCTCCTCAATGTACAATTTTAGGGTAGATACAACAATCTTCACACAACTAAAGCACAAATTATTTATTCTTTCTATGGATATAACACACTTTGTTGAAATTCACAAATGTTGACGACAATGTACGCTAGCAACGAACACAAGAAAAAATTATCAAATGAAAAGAATAAGGACTCAAATGGGTGGTGGTGGTATTGGTTAAGTTTCCCCTAATCTTTTTTGAAACAAATAGAACAACAATACTCCCCCCTCCCTCCCCTTCCCACCCACCACCATTAAACAAATTTTTTAATATCAACCAAAATGAAACAATATCTGACAATTGATATCATTAATAAATAAATACACCGACAAATCTAGCGTTGTAATTGGTTATTGTAGTTGTTGTTGTTATTGTTATTGTTGTTTATTTAACAAACTTTCTTCTTTCGTTATAACGACGATATATCGATTGATTCACAATACATGATGACGATTCGTTGATTAATTTTCTTCGAATTTTATTCAAATTCATCATCGACATGATGATGATGATCCACAATTTTCTTTCTATCTCGCGAAAAGGGAGCCGCCGCCGACTCCTTTCCTTTTCCTTCGGGACTCGAATCACAACCCCTTGACTGGTTTGTCTGCTGGGTTGCAGTTGCGCGCGCGCACCTGACAGAGAGAGAGAGAGAGTGAAAGAGATAGAAATATAAGGAGAATCGAAAGAGAGAGAGAGAGAGAGAGAATACACGAAAGATACAAGGAGCAGAGAAAGAGAGAGAGAGAGAGAGAGAGAGAATTGAAGAGAGGAGAGAAGAGGAGAGAAGAAGAGAACGACAGAAAGTCTCAACAGCCGGAGGGATGCGAGAAAGGAGAATCAATACGCGGTGTGTCGCCACCCCCGGTAGAAGCGAACCACCCTTGAAAGCTGAGCCTATCCTCCCTCTCATCCCCTTCCCAACCCCTTCCCTCTCCCTCTCTCTCTCTCTCTGTTCTTCTGGTTCTACTCTTCCTCTTCCTCTTCGTCCACCTCTCGTCGACGTTTGCCTGCCGCCTCCTGAACAACGTCGTCGACGCATGCGCGTCTCTGGGAGACGAGAAGAGAATGAGAGTGAGAGAGAGAGAGAGAAAGAGAAAGAGAGAGAGACAACATAAAGAGTGGAATTCTACCTACCAGCAGAGCAAAGTCGATCCACCTCTATTCTGAAGGGGACCCACCAACCAACCCAACAAGCCCATCGGCTTTGCTCGGATACTCTCGGTTTAGAGAGAATCTACGAGAGCAAGAGAGAGAGGGAGAGAGAGAGACAGGGGGAGTAGTTTTGGTCAGCTGATCGAATTCAGAGTTTAACGGGATGTTAATGAAAACCTACTACCAATCATCTTCATCTTCATCGTCATATTGGGTTGGCAACTAAGTCATTGTGGATTAATTCAATTTTTTCAAAGCTAAGATCAGAAATTTTATGAATGTGGGGCTGGCTGGCTGACCGATGGCAAAAGGTCATCAAACACAAATGTAGGACAATACCTAATTGAATGAACTTAGATTTTGAAGGAAAAATTTGCAATCACTTAGTTGCCAACTGAATAATTTAAGTTTATCCAATTTTGTTCTTAATGTGTTATGACGACGACCCCCGCCCGACGGTGTGTATTTTATTTTGAAGATTATTTATTAACGTAACAATTGATTCAATTATGAAGTTTTATCAGATGATCTTAGAAATAAAATTCACGATTTGTAGAATATTTCAGTGTGAAAGGTTTTGTAGATTAAAGACTTGTTTTCGAGAGAAGTGGCAGGCAGGCAGGCAGGCAGGCAGACTGAATGGAAAATAAAATCGACTCCTTTGTCTAAGTTTTATCAGGGGTGGAGATTGGGGGTGCATATGAAATTTGACAGTGTTCATGGTTTTCCCCCCCTTTAAAACGAATTCTTCTCGAATGAGGAATATCTCAGATCAAGTGGCTTCTAAAAATAGTTCTCCTGTTCAAAATTCCCCACCTTTGGTTAATGTCTATTCCCTTTTTTGTATTTAATCCTAAAGAATCTAAGCTTTGATATTTATTTGAAGAAGAAAGTAAAAAATAAAAATAAAAAAAGAAAACCCAAGATGATGATTTTTTTGAAACCCTTTTTCATACTCAAATGAGTTATTCGATCAAGTGTATCGTCTCATTCAGTTGGTGTTGCTACTTTTGTTGATGTTGTTGTTGCAAAAAATATTACTTGGATTGAAATCGTGTTCGATGGGATCCCACGATCGTTAGGTTATTATATGGACTGGTTCTCTCTCACTAAACAGATTGTATAAAGAGAGAGAAAGAGAGAGAGAGAGAGAGAGAGAGAGAGAACCAACCAATGGGACAAGCAGGGAAGCAAGCCATCCGGATTATTTCAGCTCGAACGGATGAGCCTCAGACTGTACCCCCTGACGACGACGACGAATCATCATCAACTTGGTTGTGACAGGCACAGAAAATTGTATTAATCCTTTGAGTGTTGAATAATTTTACCTACAATATTTTTCTAATAACAAAATAATATTTATTATTAACCAGATTCTAAACAAATAAATTATATTTAATTGATTAATATAAGCATTATATTACTTGTACTTTTTAATTATCAAATTTTAAATTACTATTTAATATTATATTTATTTATTATTTAATTATCATCATTTAATTATTATTATTATTATTAACAAACACATGTAGTATGCGTTGAATAGCACTCAAAGGGTTAAACGTTGTTCACATAATTCGTCGTCGTAGTTCGTTTCAAACAACCTTGTATCATTCGTAATATAAAAATATATTTGTTTGTTTGTTTGTTTGTTATTTTTTAAACTCGCAAATTAATCTATAAACAATTTCTTTTTTTATTTCTTCTCTCTACCCTCCACAACCCACCTTCCCCACCCCACTCTTCCCATGTCCTCCCCTCCACCTGGACACACACCTTTATTCAAATATATCTATTTTGTTATCGTAATTCGATTATCGAAAGATTCTAAATGAAAAAAAATATAATAATCAAAAGAGAAACAAACAAATAATATAATTGATAGAAACAAAAGTTAAATTAACATTTAAAATAATTAAAGAGAGAGAAGAGAGAGGAGGGAGGAAGAGGAGGAGGAGGAGGAGGAGGAGGAGGAGGAGGAGGAGGAATATATCGTGTAGATATCAAATCAAGTGTTTAACGGTGATAAGAATTACGCGATATTTTTAAGACTGTTTGCTAAGTCACGTTAATGATAGAAGTAACGCAATAAAAAGGGGGTACTACTACACCAATCGATAAATTCTGACGATTCATTCGATCGTTCAAGGTTGCCCTGTTTTTTTTTTCCCCTCCAAGGAGAAAAAAGAAGATTTTATATATCTATATATGTATGTATGTATGTATTATTATTATTATTATTATTATATATCATCTATATATCTTCTCTATGCACATTCATATTTGTCATTTGGTTTAAAATGTTTCGCACAATTGTTATTGTTGAAGAAGAACAACTTGACGTGATGATTTTTTTTCTTTTTTTTTTTTGACATTTAAAAATCATTTTCTAAATGAGTATTTTTAATTTTTTTCTTTTAGTTTTCTTACGTCAGTAAATATTGAAAAATTAAAAAAACAGCTGGTAGATTTGTAAAAGAACGATATATATATATATATAGAAATCAAATTGATGTTACAAACGAGATAACGTTAATTACGATTATTATTATCATTAATCATTATTATCTCATTGGTTCAGAAAAGTGGGGGGAAAAAAAAAAAATAAAATACAGAAATGAAGAAATGAGAAAGAAAGAGTTAAGATTTTTCGATACCTCCTTCTCGTTACGAACACCTTTCTGCATGACGTCAGAGAGTGGCCTGAAAGTACTGCTGACAATATTGTTCTGTTGTTGTTGATGTTGTTGTTGTTGCTGTTGTTGTTGTTGCTGCTGTTGTTGTAGTTGTTGTAGTTGTTGTAATTGTTGTTGTTGTTGTAACTGACGATGATCTTTTTTAGTGATGATTGGTCTTACAAGGGTGCGAACTGGTTGCACCCTCGTTTGAGCTCTCAAAGGTATTTCCGTTTCCTGTCCTCGTCTAGTATCAGAAGCTGTCCTTGAAAGTTTCACCGAGGAAGGTTTCTTCTGTGCGATGCTTGCATTTCCGGTTGAATTTCTCGTAGCGTCACCCCGATGCAACGGTGAAGCCCTTTTTTTTATTTATTCGTTGTATTTTGTCGTTTCATTCGAATATTTCATGATATCAACGTGGTATCATATTATTTTATATGCTTGTAATACGTAATCATACGCGCATGGGTGATTATATACATATATATATATTAGAATTTTATCGAACTAACAGAGATAATCATGACCCTTTGTTAATTAAACAAATAATTTGCAATAAAGTAATATTGCGATTATAAATTAAGATATAAACTATCCTATCTTTTAAGTTGGATGAAACTTGACATAGTGTGTCAAATTTGATTAAAATCGGTTCAGTAGTTTAGGAGTCCATTGCGGACAAACAACGTGACATGTAATTTATATATATATATATATATATTAAGATAAGAAGATGTGTGTGCATTGAAGAACGAAGAAACTACTTTGACAAGAGATATACAAATAAAAAAAAAAAAAGATCAATGTTTGTTAAAAAAAAATTAGAAAGAAAAAAATGTTCAAATCAAGTTAGGATGATCAGGTCGTGTGTATTTTTTTGATTATCATCATCATCATCATCATCATTATCTCATAAAGTTAAACACAAATGATCCCGGCGTTTCTTCTTCTTTTTTGTCGTTGTTCAAATCGTGAATCATGGAATGTAAGGTAACATAGTAGCAATTGCAGAAACCAATAATAACAAATGAGAACGCGAATTGCGGCGGAAATGAAAAGAATCGTTCGACGATCAAATTGGGTAAACTAAATGTCAATTCGAGCGAGTAAAAACGGGGGGTGGGGGTGGGTGGTATCGGGGCCAATATGGATGTAATGGAGTGTTGATTGTTCCTCCTCCTGTATACATATATATATACATGCAATCAGTAGGAGGAGGATCATAGGTTGTAAAAACGAATAAAGAAAATACATTGATTTTTTTTTTTTTTTTCTATCGTTACGCTAGGATTATTTCGTGTTTGTCAATTAATTTCATGGAACGATCGTTTCTGTCGATCGGATGTGAACAAAAAAATAAAGAGAGAAATAAATTGATTAAAAATCATCATCATACAGCAGTTGCCAAACTTTCTTAAGTGTTACAAATATTTATAAACAAAATTGTGATCTAAGAATACGTAAAATTGTACCTAGTTAATAAAATGAAACTATTAACCCTTTTGAGTGCTATTATACTTTTTACTAAAATGTTTTCTAGGAACAATTTATTATTAATTAATAATATTTAATAAAATTTAAAATTATTATTAACTATAAATTTTATATTTAATAATTACAATTTTTTGTTTCTATAATATAATTCGTTAATATATAATTTAATTAATTAATATAAACATAACATTATATTTTCCATTAATATTAACAAACACGTATATAAACCACTCTGATAATTTTTACCAAACGCATATATGCGTCCATAGCACTCTAAGGGTTAATTGTAATCAAATTATCTAAGCTATATATTTCTATGAATTAAATTATGTTTCAATGCATTTTAAAACATAACCTAACATGATGTACTCTACTAGTGGTCCACGTACCACCACTTTGACGACTGCTGATCATATACATATTCTGTACACACACACCCATATATATATATATATATATATATATGTTTTTTAGCATCAAAATACTATCACCCAGACGCGTACGAGTATACGTAAAATAAATTTGATAAAATGTTACCCCTCTGCCTCGTCGTCAGTAACATTCTTCAATAGATCCTCGTGTTCCCTGTAACGCAATTCAACCTCTGGTCGAAATTCCTCACTGTTTTCCAATTGACGAGTTTTTGCAGCTGCTATAGTACCCATTTCGATAGCTTTGACCTGTTGTTCCAATCGTTGAAGCATGTCAGTACTCTCCTCACTTGTATTATTACTTTTACCAAATTGCTGTTGTTGTTGTTGCTGTTGTTGATGCTGCTGCTGCTGTTGTTGTTCTTGACGTTGTTTTAAAATCAAGTTAAGACTGACAGGTGTTTTAGACGAATCAATTGACACTTCTTGTTCATTGGACAATGATGATACCAATGAAGGTTCAAGTATTGGTTGTATGATTTTAGAATTTTTAAATGCCTTTAACTTTTCTTCGATATTCACATCAATCATCGTATTTTCAACGGGCATTGTTCTTCTAGCAAATACCGGTGTCTTGTTACCATAAGACGAGGGACTACTTGGCCCTTTACCAGTTGAATTTCTTTTCTCGACAACTTGAAGACCTTTATTAACATCCTCAACCAATTCCCATTGTTTCAAATTGTCCAATGCAGTGTGAGCTGTGGGCAATCTTTTGTTCATTGTTTTTGGACTTGTTACTTCCTGTCGTCCACCACTTTCTTGACCACCACCACCACCAACACCACTACCAATGTTACTAGTATTATTGACAGCTAACATGGCAGCCTTTCGTAAAATACTTGCTGGTTTTATTGAACTTCTACTTGCTTGAGTCCTTGCAAAAGGACTCTCTCGATCCTCCATCTTTCGAGGAATCGAGTTGTTCTACTTCGTTTGAGAATAAACAAACTAAATAATAACACCAGTAGAGTTTATTTCTTTTATTTTATTTTTCTTGTCTTTTTCTCCCCACCACCTTTTCTCCTCTTCTTCTTTTTCTTCTTAAGACACTATATTCGTTCGTTTCTATCAAGCTGCTTCCAAGATTGATAATTTGTCAACATCAATGTTTAAACTCCAAGTTGATGATAGAGGAAAGTTGATGATCGAAAATGCAGATAGACGAGGAGCTTGTGACTTGACACACCTTTCTGTTAGAAATAAGAACAAGAGAAGACGCATTGTCTTCGTTAAATTTTGTCTCCATCATATCATTGGATTGATTTTTATTTTGCATTTGCATTTGGATATTATTTTGTTGTCGATGATGAAACGATGAACGGACGACGCATGGATATATATGGTGCTTTTGCATTTGCATTTTTTTTTTTTTGTTGTTGCTGCTCAGGACATCGGATGATAAAAAAAGCTCGACGAGTTCACCAACACATTTTTTTTTTTTTTTCTATTACGAGGACTGTTGTGTTACGTACGAATATATAAACGTGAAAAACATAAACAAAAAATAGAAGACCCAAGATATATTCTTTATTTATTTTTTTTTTTTTTAAATATGTGCTCATATTTTTAATTAATTTTTTCTATTCTTTCTTCCCATAATATTTTCCTCGTTAACACACACACACACACACACACACAAATTTCAAATATAAGCGGAGAAAAGCATACAACGGACGGGGGGAACATACAAAACGTAGTAGTAGCTTTCGACGATGATATGACGATGAAATAATAATAATAATAATAATAATAATAATAATAATAATAATAAAAATAATAATAATAATTCAAAAGCTTTTTACGGACGAGATTGTAAACGAATAATTGTGTTGTTTGTTTTTTTTTTTTTTTTTTTTTTTTAAATATGTGAGTGTTTTCTTTCTTCTCTTGATGATTATTATTAATATTAATATTATTGTTATATGATTGTTGTGATATAAAATAATGTTTAATAAGATTTTGTGTAAAAAAAGAAAAAAAATAGGATTTTTATATTAAAGATTGATATTTTAAATGACTAATTTTTAAGTTAACTAATTTTTTAAAATGATAGTTGCAAGTAACAAAAAAAAAGAAAAAAGAGAGATTTCGTTTTGAGGTTAAGACAAATACTGCAATATTAAAAAATTGCATTACTATTTTTTAAATTTCAAACACACATATATATATATATTTTTTTTTTCTAAACCTATTTTTGTAACTAATAAAACCCTTATTTCAAACGTAAATATAAATTTCCAACGAAAAAAAAAAAATATTTGATAAAAAAAAACAAAAACATATATGTGTGTCAATAAATTATATCAGTGAAGTAAGTGAACAAACAAAAATTTATATTTAATCACATATAAACAATTATATTTATTTAATTATATTGAATGATATAAAAATTTATATTTAGTGATATAAAAAAAAAATTAAATTTATTTAATAATATTTTTAATAGCGTCAGGCATCGATGCTTGACAGGGCTTGAATGGGAAATTCAATGTAAGTCACATATGACTGACATGACACTCTATAATTATAACAGTGAAGTAAGCAAACAAACACAAAAATTTATATTTAATGATATAAACAATTAATATTTAGTGATATATAAAAAAAATTCGATTTATTTAATAATATTTAATAGCGTCAGGCATTGATGCTTGAAACGGCTTGAATGGGGAAATTCGATGTCAGTCACTTATGACTGACATGACACTCAGTCACGTGATTCTATTAATCTGTTAACATATCCGTACTAAAAGTGATGTAACCATTGATCGATAGATAATGTTATTTCGAAAACGTTTCGAAAAAAAAAAAAAATAAGAAAAACCCGTTCCCCCCTTCTTCTTTTTCTTCTTCTTCTTCAAAAAAAAAAAAAAATATGTCGATGAATCAATCGATAAGGTACAAACTAACTATGATGCATTTTATTTGATAGGAAATGAGTGGTGGGGGGGTACTCACTAATCAAAAGATAAATTATTTTTATTATCGGCAACTTGACTTTATAAAGAAATAAAGTATAGTAATAAAATGTAAAATAAAAAAAAAGGTAATACGACAATTTTTTCTCTCCTTTTCTTTCTTTCTTTTCTCTTTTTCCTAACCTACAAAAAAATTATTTTTTTAATGGCCGACACCTTTGTGTCTTAACGGTAACACAGACAACATTTTATCAAGTGTTAATCTTATTCGGAGAATGAATGTAGGAAATGTGGGCGTGACCCACCCGTTAGATTTTTTTTTCTTTTTTTTTTTTTCATTTACACAAAATACATACACAACGATATCGAATTTGAAAATTATTGAATAAACAAGTGAGAAGAAAGTAAGAAAAAATAGTGAGAGAGAGAGAGAGAGAAAATGAAGTTAAATCTAACTGATGTGAAAGGAAAATAATTGTGTGTACCCACCCATCCCCCTTTCTACCCCTCAATTGAACCCTATACACATATACACATATACACATATACACGTACACGTACAAATACTTGAAAAATAGCATGAAAGCAAATAAAAAGAATAAAAGATAGTTGAATAAATCAATAATTAATAAAATGGTCGTTTTTTGATCCGACATTTTGAATATGAAAATACATTTGATTGGTTTATTAATACATACAGTGAGAAAGAGAGAGACAGAGAAACAATGTTGGA